TACTATGTCGCCTCCCACCAGAATAATTTTTACATGAGAAGGAATACCATATTTGGACCAGAGTTTAGCTATTTGACGCAGCCCCGTCTCAGAAAGCTCCTGAGCAGGAGCGGGAACAGGTTTTTTTGGGAAATCATTTCTGACCTGAGGATTCTTAGGAACCACCTCCTCTACGGTGGGGAAGATTTCTTCCTCCTCAGTCATGGATTCCTCACCAACGGGAGGACTAGCCACCGATAAAGGAGTGGCATCGGAAACTTCGTCGTGAATATAAGGGGAATTTGACATATTTCCGTAATAAAGTGTATACAACAAAGTCGAAAATAAGATATCAATCGGGAAACAAATCAGGGACTAGAACTGAAGAAGCTTCAAGAAATCGGAAGTGGAAATCAGAGAAGAAGATCAAAGAAGAACAATATGCATGCAAAATGGGAAATGTTGAATGTTTCAAAATAAAGCCCTTCTCCTCTATTTATATGATTGGATGATACCAGAATCGAGGCAAAAAGCTATCGATGACACCATAATCAAAGCGACAGAAGCACATACACTGCATTGGGAAGACGCGTAATGATGACGTGCGTGGCCACGACGTCATCCTACATTAGCCACACCAACCGCAGCCCTATGCACAATGCTGCTAGTTCGACCTCAGCCGATTCTATTCAACCATCATGACCAAATTTCCTCTAAACAGTTGCATACAGAATCCACTCATCGAGGACGTCCAAGATCATGACCTCAACAAGCGGAGGGAGTAACTGTATTGGTCAAAATTTGGACTGAGATTAATAACTGCAAATGGATGTAGTCGAGGATTCAGCTAACCACGGCACAATGGCGAGGAGTTGTCTTAGGAAGGATTAGTACCAAGGTCAAGTAAAGAATGTACAGAAGTAACGATAGAGTAAGATTAGAATATGAAGAAGGAATATTCTATTGGATATTCTTTCAGTTGTACTTTTTAGGGTTTCTTAGGAATATCCCCTATAAATAGGAAGAGAAAAAGAACGAAAAGGATCTTCTTCACTTTTGGGATAAAAAACACATTATAAAGGTTGACTACAGAGAATATACAAAGCTTGTTTTGTCCACTGATTCAACTATTCAACATCTATCTTTTACTTACAAGATCCAAGGATCCCTTATCCACCTTCATTTTATATTGTCCCCACATTGTTGTCAGGAAGGAGAATCACACGAGTCATCTAACATTTGGGTGACAAGTTTCTCCTTATTACATTTATTGCTATTATCTAAATCCATTGCGGGCTTTCTTTATTGCATTCATTGACAGTCATTGAGCGCTCTTAATCGGTATTTAATATTATTGAACACGATAATACATTTATTATTAATACATTAAGTTTCCACATCTAGTAGTTATTATATTTAACTAGGATTCACCCCCTATTTTCTCACTAATTCGTTTCAAAACGAGGTTTAACACTTTTTTGGTAAAACATAAAGCTATTTTATTTTTAGTCCGTTCCAAAAAGAATGACTCCTTTCTAAATTTGAAAACAATTTATTTTAAACTTACAATTCTACCCTTAATGAGAAGCTTTTATAATCACACAAATACTCTGGCCCCTTTTTGACTTGTTTAGGACCATAAATTTCAAAAGTCTTCATTTTTTCTTAAACTCCGAGCCCAATCAAACAGGTTCACATAAATTAAAACGGAGGTAGAAATATTTTACGTTTTATGTGACAGTTATCTTGTGAATGTGTTTATTCTTAGATAACTAACATTTACCAGCTCATATTGCATTATCAATCTTTCAATCATTTTATAGAATTTGTCTTTCACTTTGATAGATGTCACTGTATCACATAATACTCTAATAGCACCTATGAATTTCATTGCATAACATCTTTAACTATCATACCATTATCTTGAAATACCAAGTTAGACATGTGAATTGTCTGTTTTTGCACGTTACAATCCTATCTACCTCTATCTCAACTTCTATATGTTGGCCAAACTTAAAATAATATATTCAATGTTACTCTACTTATTTGAATACACGTTCCCTCTAACGTAATGCTCAATAGTTTAAGATTTTATTACTTCTNTTGATTGCTTGAAGCTTGAAACTTGTAGAGAAATTTGTGGCGTTTGATCCACGAGCTCTCTCTTTCTTCTTGTTATAACTTACGGTATTTTTCCTGGGTAATGAAGACCCCTAGTTATAGTTGTGGGAGGGAAGAGTTATGATAAGAACAAACTCTATCCGACCAATCAAATTGATGTGTGACAAGGCCACATTTGATTGGCCAGAACATGTCACTTGCACCTGTGACGCGGTTTCATTAGCCTTTTAATTTGGCTTGTCATGCCTTAACATATGGCACAATTTTATCTGCTCTTTCGTTTGACTTGGCATGCCAGATTATTTGACACGTGGCATCAAAATGGGCCTCTAGGAAAATTGACATTTTGGGCTTAATGAAATGGGTTCATCATTTTAGCCCCAATTAAATGGGCTAGCTCAATGAATTTGGATTTATTTATTTAATCCATGTGTATTGGACTTATATAATTAATCTAATTATATTAGCCGGTAATATTTATTTGGACTACTACATTTAAAATATAGTCCAAATTACTTTTTGAATTTTGTTCTGATAAAATAGATATGCTTACATTTACATCTTACTACTATTTTTCAAAGATCAACACTCTAATTTGGATGGTTCTGTGATGATCTTATTTTCTTTTATCTTGATTACCACAAATTTTATGTTGATCAATGTTGTATTTGTATACAATAATTGGATTGTAGCGAGGATTCTTCAAAAAAGCACGGGCTAACTCGAAGATCTGGAATCTTGGCTTAGTAATGAACGAAGGAACGCTTTTCGAGCTTTTACACCAATATCTTATATAGTAGTATTTGATGGAATCCAAAAGTTCTTAGTTTTGACAAGCTTAAATGATCAAAATTACTAAAGATATATGTAAGGTATAAATTACAACTAAATATCTGCTTTAAGAACCTCTGTTTAAAACATATTCAGCTTTTAAAATATTATTTAAAGTTTAATCAACTTTAACAAACTACACAGGGCTTATACAATTACTGGTGTTGCTGCTACTTCTTCTTCTTTAGAAAATTGCCTAAGCCTAACTTTGGACTCAAATGTCTAGAATTTGAAACTTTAAACGGGCAATTTTAACTTCAAACTCGACTTTAATGCACAAAAATAAGGTGAAAAAGGAAAAGTAAAAGGTAAGTCACAGACAATAACCGTTTTTGCTAAAGTTTCACGATCTCTATCTTTGTTATAAGGACGTAGTATACTACCAGAAGTAAGGTGAAACTGTTGTTGGAGAAAGTTAGAACCCCCGCCAGATCCAGTAGAAGCGTCAGTACCGCTGCTAAGATTCGGCATTTTTACGACATCTATTTGAGCTTGTATCCATAAAGGTTTGTGTTCCTTAGCTAAGTGCTTGGTTAAACCTCCATCCACCCGATTCTCCATGTGCAAATCGTACCTTACATTTTGCATATATAGCAACTCTGTTGACTTTATCATGTTCAAAAAAAAATTCCATATAGGTGATGTTTCGTACGTTCAGCCTTAACCTTACCCCTTACAGGAGGTACAAGAGGTAAAGCTTCAAACCGAAATTGACTTTGAGTTGGAACTTGTGTTGTTGGACTAGTGGGTGTTTCGTCTAATACTTCTTCCTCAATAAAATATCATTGTCTTTGTAAAGTTTCATGATCTAGTTGTTCTCCCAAATTAATATTATGCAGAGGATCGGAAAAATGAAGTTTCATCAACATGAGTCATTTCATCTATATGTTTTCGAATTCTACGAGAATGATTAGGATTAATACAACTAGCACCTTTACTACTTTTTAACTACTTTTTATTTTTAAAAATGGATGGGGTATGGCAAATACACTTTTAGGTGTCATAATTTTAAATACGAAAATAAATTAGAAAAATTAATACAAAATTTAAACACGCAAATGAAATACGAAAATAGAACACGTAAAGTAAACAAAAAAAATAATGCACTAAAATGGTACGCAAAAATTAAATATTAAAATTAGGAGATGGAATGAATGCACCGTGATTAAATATTGAAACTTGAAGAAATTGCCCAAAAAATTGCTCCAAATACTTGACAAATTAATTTGAAGCTTGAAAGTTGCTCCAAAATTTTCCCAAATACTTGAAACGTAGTTGATTGTGAGAAAATTGAGAGTAGAACATAGATAGAATGTAAGAGATTTGAGAGAGAATAATTGATTTTTGTGGGAAAAATAAAGAAGGATGGGGGGTATTTATAGTTTAAAATAGGAAAAATTTTACATTAGAGCAATTGAGCTTCACATTAGAACAACTGAGCTCCCTACATTTCAATTTTATAGCTCATATTTCAATTTACAATCAACTAGCCCAAAAATAATAGGCTAAGATTCAACATTCAACTCCAATGGGTTTTCAAAATTACTATTTAATTTTTAAAAAATATTCCTCAAGCTTTTAAGTTAATTTTCGAATCAGTAACTATGACTCAAATATTAGTTCAACAAACCAAATTCATTTGGGTGGTGAAAATTATATTTTTAACAAGCTTAAGTATGTGGGTTTAAATTTCAAATTTGATTTTATGAGAAATTTGGAGTGGGTGTTATTTAGACTTGTTAGAAATCGTATAAGGAGGTCGTATATAAAATTTGAAGTCATTTAATGGAGATTTGGACTAGTTTTGAACAAAAATTACAATTGAAAATCGTGAAAGAAGTNGTTTTGAACAAAAATTGCAATTGAAAATCGTGAAAGAAGTGCGTCTACAGACGCTAGTATAAAGGTGTATAAGGTGTGTTTCTACACTCATATACATTTTTTTTGGTAATTAAACTTTGTATTACCAGGGAAAATATTTACAAGTAAATCAAACCCTTACAATATGACCTTCTTTCCTATACTTCACCCCCTCCCCTTGTACTGCTATTTACATTTGTATCTACCTATTACACTGGGTACCAATCTAATCTATGTAGTATTCCCATTGTATGCTTGGTACTTCGACAATGTATCTCCTGAATGATTCTCTTACTCACTGCTTCCCAACCTGTCTCCTTTGCTTGAAAAAATTTGGTATTCATTTCTTGCCAAACATGGTATATTGTTGCTGCTACTGTCATTTTATACAATTCTGCAGCAGCTGTATTTCTTTTAGTCTTTCTTTCAGCCCAACGTAGTTCCTCATCCCAGCCAGCTATAGGTCTTCTAATTCCTTGCCATGTTAGCAGTGTGCTCCATAATGCCTTTGCATATGTGCATTCAAAGAACAAGTGTTGTATAGTTTTATTGGCTTGCTTGCACAAGACACACTCCTGGTCCACCTGCATTCCCCACTTCTGCAGCCTATCCATTGTATATAGCTTCCCATGAGCTGCCACAGTTAGCATAAAT